ACTCGCGCCAATTCTCGCATGTACTCGAGATACACGAGATCTATTCATATAGTACCTCTCTCTAAGACACTTCAAGGCGCCTAAGGCAGACTCCCACTACAATGCCTTACTGATGAGTCTGGTAAAAGAAAAGGCAATAAATATTGCAATGGTCGCATTGCAGTCAAAAAGTAAGCCTACAATGCCACATAATGTCAACGCATTACGATAATGAACGTTACATGTCAAATAAGAACCTATATGTATACTGGAGGTGTATCATATAAATGCGATACGTGTAATAAAGAGTTTTAAACAAAAATTCAACTGGATATGCACAAGCGAACACATGATTCTATACGTTTGTGACATTTGTGAACAAACAAATGTTGTGGACAAAAAAACATTTGTTTGTTCACATATGTCACAAACAAACAGATATCATGTTTCGCTTGTGTATAGCCAGCTGAATTTTTGTTTTAAACTCTTTATTACACGTAGCGCATTATATAGCTATATATACGTCCTTATTAGTCTTGTATAGCGTTCGTCATTGTAATGCATTGCTATTATGTGGCCTTGTAGGCTTACTCGTTGACTGCAATGTGACCGTTGCAATATTTATTATTTTTTACCACTTAATCTAAACATTGTGTGATATTATATTTGAATGATTTTCTATATTTATTAATCTTTACCAGATAATTTAATCATTTACTCTGATTTGAAAGAACAATAATTTTCCTAACACTTGTTCGTCAATTAAATACTCACCTAAACGTTAGTCGACAAAACGCACAACGGTAAGGTTTTTCGGCTTTATGACTATTCTCATGTCTAATCAGTTCCGATTTATACTTAAACCCTTTACCACATGTTCCGTATTTGTATGATCTTATTTCAATATGTACGTCTATATTGTCAGGGATCCAGAGGGCACATCTTAATATTAAGATAGAGCGATTGATATAAAGTAAATATGAAAACGGTATCATAAAGCTGATAATTGTTTAAATGCAATGCAAAAGTTTAGAAAGCTGAATGTGTACGTCCTGAACTTTATAAGTCTTACCGTGCTGTTGGAGTACATCTTCTGTGTCGTTATTTTTTCCCTTCTGTCGATTCATTCTTTGGAGAATCAACTTTATATCTCTTCAGAGGTAATTTTCGTTTCACTTTATTGTAATATTCTTTGTACTACCTTCGTTAACACGTTCTAAATATATTTGTACAAGTTTACGTTGACATTTATCCACCGTAAATCATAGAATAAAATAATTTTTTTATTAATGTAATAAAATGTTATTATGCTAACAGTCAGAGCAGGGCAAAATACATCAAAATAATAATTGAAATACAAAGTACAGAATACTAATAATCTGTGTATTGAATTACAAAAAGTACAATATATTCTTAATTTTTTCAATTTTAAGTACAAAATACAACAATATTTCCAAATTTTGTATTTCAAATACAAAATAGTTTTTTTAAGATAGACACAAAATACTTCCAAAAGATTTATTTGGAATACCAGTTTTGAGTTAATGTGCAGTAAGGGAATTTATTTAAATTCAAATTTGATAGATTTAAAATAATATACTGAAAAAATCCTTCATTAATTTCTAATAATTTTAAATGATCTAATTGTTTTCTAATGTTTTAATTGTTCAAATTTTGCAGCAGTTAAATGATACACGCGACTGCGTATCATTTTCTATTTCTAGCTTTGTGCCAATAGCATAATGGCCTCGAGTGGAAAATCGGAGGAGCTAATGAAAAGTATGTTACAAGAAAGATAAGCGACAATGGTGACGGACCAAATATAGGTTCCATAGAACTATTATAGTAAGACTTCTTATATTCTTCGATCATCCTCTATATTACTTCTCCGCGCCGCCAACAGGTCATTGGCCTTACGACAAAGACGCCTTCGGTCTCGGAGAAATAATTTCTTTGGACACGGATCTAAGATTGCCTATACTAATAATTATTACGATGGCATTCTTTTGGGAATCATCGATCTGTGACTGCAACAAATGAAAAACTCGGGACGTGGAATCGCCGCGAAGAGAATAAAGTCAGAAGAACATAAATATCAAGAGACATGGTAGTGTTTCGTGCCAAGTGAACACGAAGCGAGATCGTACCGTACTTCTTTACGCAAGTCGGTGAGTTCCGAGCACCCGATATAATCGAATTTCACAATAAACAACTGAATTAATCGATTAATTCATTACAATTTTTTATTCAATTAAAATTTACCCTTTACTTTATCCTCATTGTTATTTTGACATCGAGAGCTTTATTTATATTAATCTATCTGGATGTGATAATACTGACATTATTTCAAATAATTATTATTCAAATTTACATTATTTTGCTACAATATAGGTATAAATAACATATGTTAGACAGTGTACGCAAAAATTACACGAAATGTAACATAATAGCTTATGAACGCATTGAAGAATTGTTATTTGAACGCGTTGGAAACGCGTTATCAATTGGTTATTGTTTTTGATGTTCATTGTGAAAAGCGAAATACAGGATAAATGATTTTGACAATGCAATTTAAAAATATTTTATGTCATATTTATAAAAAGTTAAGACAAAAACTATGTTCAAAAATAAATAAATTCTATATATGTATAACAATGCTGCAATATATAAAATTCATGTATAATATTATCATTCTAATGTTAAAATTTCACTCTTTTTGCAGATTATACATTTATTAACAATTTTTATCTTTATGTACTTAATACTAATTTTATTTAAAATTAATTATTTACAATTTTTTTAAATACTCTTTTAAAATACAATAAACTTAATTATAATGTAGTGTTATTATAAAATTAATTTAAAACACGCTTTAGATATCTTATTTGTATTTGTTTGAAGGAGCGTTGATATTAAAATTAACGTAACTCACTCATGTATATTTAATCCTATATCCTTGATTTTTTTATATACGTATTTATACTTATTCTGTACTAAATCTCACGATCTCACGCTGTGCGTTTACTTGACACGAAACACTATACTACGTCTCTTGATAGCCTGCATCTTGACCTACTGCAATTCCTTTTTTAAATCTTTTCATTATTTTTCTTAATCGGTATTTAATAACTATCTTATTATTGTATATATTGATGTTTAGTATAGCGCCAAGTTTTTTGTATTTATTTTTTTAAATAATGTATGTTTTATATGTTGTAAGAAAATATATCCTTTCACATTTGGCTCAATTTAAATATTTCATTTCATTTACTGTATACTGTTATAATATATGTAACGGTTTTTTGCGAAGGGAACACGTACTTTGGCGCCTTTTTCCCTTTTTTTAATTTTATTGAGATCTCTAAGACATTGATTCGTGTTTTTGATAATACAAGAATATTATAAATATTTTTAATATTGTGTTAATTTTAATATTAAGTAAAGAAAATATTTATCGTTTTTGTGATAATTATCTAATTTAATCGTGGCTATTGCATTTATTAATACTGCTTACATTTCAATTAGTGCAAAAGTAAAATGTTAGGAGAAAAATTTAAAAAAAAGGAGAAAAAAATAATTTGCAATTGCGTAGTTTGCGCTATGCTAGTTGAAATACCGCTGCAAAGGTGGATTCACTCAAGCAATTTAAATTGTCATCCTCATAGAGTCCTATGACGAATGAGAGGACAATGTCGCCAAACATGATTATAGTAATAATACGATGTCGCGTATAATTATCCGGTCAGATAATAATAGTTCCAGGTCAGCACGTTTACTTGGGCTTCGCTTTGAAAAGCTTTGTGCCCGGCTGTGTCATGCCCGAGCGGTCAGACGACAGAGATCCACTAATAGGCCTTCAAGAGCAGGAACGCGATTCCAGAAAGCCCTAACAACGAACGCGATTTATCCTTCATCCTCTGTACTTGCTCACCTTTATTCCGAATTTCCGAAATCTCCAAATGCGTCTGCCCTGAGCTACGCCGATCAATCGACGAAATGAGGATTTCAGCGATCTAATACCATTCCTCTAATCGCGCAGAAGGTTCCTCTGCGCGAATCAATTTTGTTTTAGCAAGATTAATAACTGTATTAATTGCGTGTAACGATAGAATCGTGTAAAATTAATGACGCAAAAATCGTAATAATATATTTTTATATTTTCTGTTAGAAAATATTAATGTAATAATAAAGATATATTATGTTAATAAGTTAACGCTTTAATAATAATAAAATTAGTGTTAAAATTAATAATAATAAGATTATAGTTACTTCTTGATAAGAAATAATTGTAATTGACGTAAAGTCGACTTTAACTCTCAAATTTAACAATAAAGATGAAAAGTATTATAATAAATACAGAATAATAAATATATTAAATATATCAAGGTAAAACAATTTGTCTAAAGTTTAAAATAATCTGTTATGTATAATTAACGTAAAAAGTAAACTTATAATTACATTTTCTAGACAAATCCGATGGCATTTAAAAACATTATCTTTAACTAAAAAAATAGCATTATTATTGCAAATTACATTTGGATGTATTCTAGCCAAGACGGATATAGCTTATTATCATAAATTACATTGGAATTATTAGTCTGATGTAATTTGCTAAAAATTTTTGAAATGAATAAAATGGAGACTGAGTATAAGTTCTAATTGGTCCTTGATGGCATCAACATTGATCTGGGTTAAGAATCACAGACGTGCCGTGGAATTCGAATAATTCTTACTACGACCGCGTCGAGAAGCGACGAATGAAGGTAGAAAATGCCGACGATGAAAGAAATTAATTTAACCCCTCACGTGTGTGGGAAACTGTAAAAAAAAATGTCTGCGAAATTAGAATTAATCCGACCTCTCGTTATTACAAAGAGCTCCCTTTGAACTCAGGGCCGGAGGATTATTCCGTAAGAACCGACTTGTGCGAGCCAAGCTTGTCCCACGTAATCATGTCAAATGTTCCTAATATTTTTAGATTTTGCGTGAATTATTCTCCCACGGCACGAGCTTTGCGATACCTCGCGCTCCCTAACTTGTCTTCTTTCTCTTTCGAGACGCTTTCCAGTTTCCGCATTCACTATCGCGTAAAAGCCAAAGTCAAGGTAGTTTGCGGACTCGTCTTCTCGATAATCCGCCTCGCAGCTTGGAGTAGACATCTCTCGGAGCGTGTAATTTCCGCGCGTAACCGCACACGAGGATACGCACACGGTATGACGCGCATTATTGTGTGAATGCGCCCTTTATGTAACAGGCAACCCCTGGCGCGGCTTTCAACCCCTTTCAGTCAGCCGAGACGGCGACGGTGACGATGACGACACGAAGACGACGACGACACTACCACTGATGAGATATACGTCCGCCGAAGTCGACGACGGCGTCTCGCATTCCGCAAACTCGTGGAAAGACAGACGGGGTTCTCGTCATGGTTTCTTCTTTTGTCTGTCTGCAATTACGGTGCTTCTATTGAAAACAACTGCCACCGTGCCACAGTGCTCGCTATGATTGTTATGCATGAAGGTTTTTCATGTCGAAAGGTGCAACGTAGTCGAAATGATTTTCAGTGTAATTTCGCACATTCCTCCTTTCCTCCCCCAGTTTGCAAACTACCGCACGCGATTTGCCAACATACAAGAATGTAACAATTCTGTCCATTATTTCATGAAAAAAAACTAGAATATTTACAAATTCGCATTTTTCACGTTTGTTTCTCACGATAACTGATAATAATAAATTCTTTTATATTGTTTGTATTATTTATTTTTAAAATAATTGCGATATACATTGATATTCATCGCAATCCTGATAATATTTTTTTTCTGCTATTCAGATGGATTTTGCTTTTCTAGTTCACAATTCGGCAATGAAACTTGCATCTCTACTTGCACTAAATAAAGTAATAATTTATTAAATGTTGTTACTGTTATTATCAATAAATTAATTATAAACTCTGAGAATCTTTACTTTTTGTGATACTTTCTTTAACTTTAAAGGACTGTACCGCTTACGCTTGTGAAATATTTTAAAATAAAAATAATTTAAAAAAAAAAAGAATTTTTTTTTCAATATTATTTTTACAAGCTTCTAAGATATATCTTAATGATGCACGCAATTTTTAAAACCTACAGTTACCAGAAGAACTGAATGTTAGCAACAGATATATTTGCAATACAATGTTCATTCAGTACCGGTCGATACCTACGTATACTTCGTCGTGACTTTTACAATGTTATGCTCCTTGCATTTCCTCTCCGAACGATTGAACGGGTCGTTTGAATGCGACGGCTTTTAGAGATCAAAGCGAGAGAACGTATTGGAAAATGTTAGATGTCATGCTCGATACAATCTATGTATTCTTTCCTATACGCTACGTCCGAGACTGCGTCTCTTACACGCAGAGAAGTTTTTAGTCGGAAAATCGCCGATTAGTTAAAAAAAATTAGGTCATGCAAGTTGTCGAATTAATGCGAAGTGAAGTCGGCATTTTTAGCTTTTACCGCTGGCTAAATATATTCTTATATACCGTTTTCTTTATGAAGAGCCGTTTAGCTTAAAAGTATTAAAAGATAAGAAAGTCTGGATAGAGTGAAGTAGTATTTTAGTTTAAAAGTCATTATATGATGTAAAATGAACTTATTTCAAGATAAAAGAATTTTCTTGTATGTTTACATACAATTTGTAGGTTTAGTTATGTAGTATGCTACAATTAGCAATTACATAATTACTATCAAGCAATAAATTTATAGTTTACATTAATATTTAAAAAGAATTATATTATAATGTGTAAAAGTATTCAAAAAATATCAGTAAAACTTGTGTGTTACAGTGTATAGAATGGAGCTACATTATAATTAAAATTTGTTTAATTCTTTAATTAATTTGTTCAAACTAAGAAATTATCAAGAAAAGAAATTATTCATTAGGAAAATAAATATATTATATCAGAATCAAGAAGCATGAATGCCAGTGTGATTATCGGCCAGAAAATCGGCCAGAAAATCGGCCAGAAAATCGGCCAAAAAATCGGCCGAAAGTTGCATACACTTCATGTATGTTCACTTTGTACTGACAACTTTATTAGTAATATATCAGTTACTTTTAATGGTAATATATTATATGTGTTATTCTAAAGAATTAGTATATGAGATTTTGTTGTATTTGAGATGTTGTGTGCCTCTCATTTTAGCTTTTTTTCTCCTTCTTAAAACATGTTATATACCGAGAGTTCCTTAATTTTTAATTAATTGAATATTACTAAGCATGGATAGTCTAAAAGCTTAGGATGCTCGCACGGAATGCCACGCTGAGAAAGAAATGCTATTGATTCAAATAAAATCTATATCACGGTCTGCCACTATCGTAAGAAATTAAACAATGCATATATAAAGAAAGTCAAAGAGAGCCAATAAATTATTATCAGATAAATTCAATTTATTATAAACATACGTTTTGATTCCGATCGGGTCATTCTCATTGTTACAGTGAAAATAATACAATATTCGTTATAAATTTTCAGATATCATCAAGAACGTTTTTTTCAAAATAATTAAGATCCTTTGTTTAAAATTTTGCATTCTTTATCTTGTGTAAGTCTACCTGACTTTAAGACAACGTAATCTTAATTGTAAGTAATAAGTAATTTTATAATATAAATATAATTTTTATTCATCAGAGAATTCTTAACTGGAACATCCACTGCGTATCTATTTTATTTTTATATTTTGATGTTGAAGATCTGAAGATGGCTCAATATAGAAGCCGAAACATGTAATTCTAATGTCAATATCATATTATATTGTTAAGAACATCAATCTTCTATTTTATCTTCGTAATAAAAATTTTTTTTTTAAATTGACATATAAGATTAAAAATCATAGAAAGTGACAATGCCTACTCGAGTCATTGTAACAGGATGTTAATGTTAATTGAGTGAAATTATGTACCGCGTATGTAGTCCTCTTCGTGACGCTGATGGGTTTTCAGCATTGACGCATACGTATTAACTACCGCGGTAATATCACTTTAGTTAAATTGACATCACAATTTAACAAATTTTGATGCTATAGCATCTTAATTAGATCTTAATAATATGTTGAAAGACATATATTAATATTTAATAATGAAATAATGATAATTTTATCTGTGAAAATCCGTGAAAATAATAAGACTGCGAAGAATATCACAAGTTGGCGTTTCGTCCCGGTTTCCATTACTGGACTCATCAGTAAGGCATTGTAATGGAAACCTACCTTAGACGCCTTGGGAAGATGTTAGAAAGAAGTTCTATATAAACAATCACTCATATAATTCAGCACTTGCGAGAATCGGAATGAGTAACTATAGACCTCTGGTGGCTAGTCGACGTATATAAGATTAGTTTTAATTTTTTACTCTTATGACCTTTATTCATTTTTAAATTTATTTAATAAATATAAGAACATAATCCAAAAATATCTTATGTAATACATAGAAAAAATAAGCGAAATCTAATTATAACATGATTCTTTAAAAATATTAACATTAATTTTGCTATAAATTATTCCAATCACTACATAACGATAAGACATTGCTTTCAATACTAGCGATTCTATAAAATTTAATATAAAATACTGAAACTATTTTTATATATTTCATATAAAGAAAAATTAATACTAATTAAATTAATTTAAAATGAGTATAAAGCATTTTTCACAGAGTAACACATCATATAAAACTTAAGTGTACGAGTGATTTTTAAAAACAGTGTAAACAATACCAAAGACTAGACACATGGGTAAAATGTCATGTCAGTTTTCGAAAGAAACACTCTCATATGTATTTATATGTACACAAGTGTAGACCTTGATACAGTAGTTCCTAAGATTTTGACGTGCTTGGACGTCGGACATCAAACAATTTCAAATTCAATCGTACTCCTACATTTTGAGTGCTACGCCTAAGCCGTTAGTATTACATATAAGTTATTACGTAAATCAGTAAAGGTCGTATTCATAGTATTCAGACAGACTATGTACTTAAGGCATCTATAAATTTATCCTTAGATGCTCAGTAACCACTAATATAATACGTAGAGCATACAAAGGTAAAGTTAAGAAACCCTTAAATATTATGCCCAACTATGAAAATGGTTATACATGTCTAACTGCTATATAACGTCAGGCGTTATTTTAATTTTAAATATCTCGTACATTTTTTTATAATAATACATATATATTTAATCTTGCTTTGAAACATTTGTCTGATACTTTTTTATCACATTCAGTAATAGATGTTAGCAGGGCTGGGCACATTTCAAATACGAGCGTAAAAAGAACTTTGTATTGTCATTTCGATTACAATTACCATATATTGAATTTGAAATATGAAACTGTCGTATGTAAAAATTTAAGTTATTATCATTTTTGCCATGAAGTCTGCTCTTTTTGGCTGAACTTTTGCACCAGTTCATCTTTTTTCTTTTCTTTATACGTAGAGAGAAAAGGATGAAACATTTAACTGCTAATTATTAGAAATTAATAAAGGATTTTTTCCAGTATATTATTTTAAATATTAGAATTACAAATTAGTTCGGTACGCTTTTTATGTTCAAAAATGCATTTATTTCAAAACAAAATGAATGAACAGATTAATTAAAGTATTGTTCATCGCTGGCTACTACTTTTTGCCATCTCTCAGGCAATTTTCGAATTCCATCTCGAAAAAATGACTCGTCTTTGGAGGCGATCATCTTTTGGAAAACGGACCGAACTAATTTGTACCCGCAATAGATCTCTCTATCAAATTTGAATTTAAATTAATTCCCTTACTGCACATTAACTCAAAATCAGTATTCCAATAAATCTTTTGGAAGTATTTTGTGTCTATATCTTGAAGAAAGTATTTTGTATTTGAAATACAAAATTTGGAAATATTCTTGCATTTTGTACATCAAATCGATAAAATAATTTAGTACTTTGTAATTCAATACACAGATTGTTAGTACTCCGTACTTTCAATTACTATTTTGCCCGGCTCTGACTATCAGCATAATATGATTTTATTGTATTAATAAAAACATTATTTTATTCTATGATTTAAATGTCAACGTAAACTTGTACAGATATATTTAGAACGTGATAACAACGAAGGTAGTACCAGGAATATAACAATAAAGTGAAAC